GAGCATGGTCTTGCTGGACGAGGTGAAGGGTCTCTTGTCCTCTCGTTTCCGCATGAAAGACTTGGGGGAGGCTAAGTACTATTTGGGGGTGCAGATTGAGCGTGATGAGAGTGGCATCTTGATTCATCAGGAGAGGTACATTCTCAATATGCTTGAGTCCTTTGGCCTTTCTGAGGCTAACCCCGTGCGTACCCCTCTCCCTACAGGGTTTGATGTGCATGCACATGCTGAGGAGCCCTTGATGAGAGATGAGCTGGTCCAGGTCTATCAAAGCATTGTGGGGTCTCTCATGTATGCAAGCATGACCACACTACCCCAGATTGCTTATGCAGTGTCACAGCTGTCCAAGGTGGTGTCTTGTCCCAAGGCATTTCCCCTACAGGCTGCTAAGAGAGTGCTAAGGTACCTGAAAGGTTGTGTCAAGTCAGGTAACTTCTACCCCACACACGGCAAGCCTCAAGTTGAGTTGGTGGGCTTCAGTGATGCTGATTATGCTGGAGATTCAGTTGATCGCAACAGTCACACCGGCTATGTCTATTGCCTTAATGGTGCAGCCATCTCTTGGCAGAGCAAGAGGCAGCCGGTGGTTACATTGTCCACAACTGAGAGTGAGTACATCAGTATGTGTCAGTGCATTCAGGAAGGTGTGTGGCTGAAGCGTTTGTTTGGGGAGTTTGGGCATGAGTTTGCTGGTGGTGTGCCTGTGTTTGTGGTCAACCAGTCTGCCATTGCCCTTGCACAGAATGCATGCTTGCATGGCCACACCAAGCACATGCAGGTTCGGTGGCATTTCATCAGGGAGATGGTGGCAAGCGGCGAGGTGATCCTCCGGTGGTGCCCAACCAACCGTCAAGCAGCAGACATACTCACCAAACCCCTTCCTTTTGAGCGGCACGGCGTGTGCATGTCCTTGATGGGGATGCAGCCCCATGTTAGCATGGTGCTTGAGCAAGATGTGGGAGGGTTGGTGCTTCTCTGCCTTGACGACATCATGCTGTGGATGGCGCCCCTCCTTGGGCAAGGGAGAGTGGAGTGAAGGATTTTGCCCAGTGGTGTTCAGCCACCTCCAGCACGAGCAAGGGGGAGTGTTGATTGTGTAGGTGGTTGTGGTTTTTTTCTCTAGCTGGTTGTGGGCTAAGGGTTTGGGCAAATATGATTGCTAGAGTTGTTACAGGCTGGATTTGATCTCGCACCAAACAAGCACCAACAAACATTTGCTACCCACTACAACACCTTTGGTGTTGCTAGTTTGGCATTTTGGGTTGTTGGGGATTGTTGTATGGCGAGGGTTGAGATGGTAGGGTTTGTCAAACTCGTCACTTTTCAGATCTGAACTCTAGCTCAACACATTCCTGTATCTAATCCATGGCTGCCAAGTAATTCCGCCAGGACACTCTATCGCACTTCAATCGCGATAGAGATCGGCCTAGATCTTGGTTGAAGGCGAGCATTACCATTCTGGAAATTAGAAATTAAGACCTTTCCAACGCATACCTGCTCATAGTTTAAGGTTACGTGAGCTGCACGCAATGTTCCGTCGAAGTCGGCGGACTTCATCTCTTGTACGCTCTCCAAATTCACGCGCTTTCCATCAGCGCAGCCCTTGCAGGCGCCTTCGTACGTCCCGAAACGCGGCCCCGGTGACGTTCTGTGGTGGTGAGTTTTCTTCCACTCACCTGGAGATGTTCTATAAGGGTTCGGGGATCATCCGCTCTTACACGCTACCAGACTCGCCGTAGCAGAACGGTGTAGCCGAGCAACGCATCGGCCTGGTCATGGAGGTTGCATGGACCTCCATGTGCCATGCCGGTGCAACTAGTTTCTGTGGCCCCAGGCAGTCCGCTACGCTACGCAACAGCTGAACCTGTGGCCCAGTGACGCACAGCCACGGGTGACGCCGGTCTTCCTTTGGACAGGTTCTCGGGGTGTAGCAGCTGATTACCGCGTCTGGGGTTCCTGGCCCACGTTCACGCCCCTGCCGCTAGCAAGTTGTCTGCGCGCATCCGTGCCTGCGTCTTTCTTGGTTTCCCACTCGACGTCTCCGGCTTGCAATTCTTCGACCTGGTTACCCGCTAGTTCTTGAGTTCCCAGGATGTCACTTTCGACAAGTCGGTCTGTTACTACAGGAGTCGCTCTCACCTATGTTCTGAGGCGTTTTCCCCCTTGCTGCTCCTCACCCCTGACCCACCCCCCCCCCAGTTGTCCCGGTTGCTTCCCCCCCCCTCGCGTCCTGCCCCGTCAGCTATGTCCCACGCCATTCCGTTGTTGACTCCCCCGCAGGGTCCAGTCCCTCCTGGTCTGGGTGTGTGGGAGGTGCAGCTGCGGATGGTGAGGGTATTGGCGCTACTGGAGCTGGTGGTGCCGGCTCGGGGGTGCAGGGGGTGTGGATGTGGAGGCCCCTCCTGTGGAGGACACGGCGAGTCGGCGGCCTCTCCCCGCCTCACCCCCTGGCTTCCCGTTAGTTCCGCTGTTCCTTCCTCGTTCGCCTCCGTGGCCGGTCGCTGCGGAGTCTGAGGGTGTTCTTGCCGGAGGTACCGGAGGCCCCGAGGTGTTGTCGGTGGAGCTTCTGGTTCTGGGGGTGCTGGAGCTGAAGGCGCAGGCACCTTGGCGCCTACAGCGTGCACTGTACGTTTCCTGACACGTGAGCAGCGTCTTCTTCGTTTGGAGAAGGAGGAGCGGGATCAGTTTGAGAGGGCATGGCAGCAGCAGCAGCTGTCCTATTCGGAGCGTCAGGAGAGAGTAGAGGAGGAGTCACAGCCGCAACAGCAGGTGTAGTTCCAGCCGCACCAGGAGAGAGTAGAGGAGGAGCCCCGGCCACAGCAGCAGGTGCATTTGCGGCCGCAGCAGAAGAAGGTAGAGGAGGAGCCACAGTCGCAGCAGCTGGTGCAGTTGTAGCCGCGGCAAGAGAGGGTAGAGGAGGAGCCACGGCCGCAGAAGCAGGTGTAGTTGCAGCCGCCATAGGAGAGAGAGTAGAGGAGGAACCACACCTGGAGCAGCAGGAGTAGCAGCAGGAGCAGGTGCCGCCGCAACAGACGCCGGAGGAGGCGGAGCAGCAGCGGCTGAGAGACCTGCCCGACCGAGCACCTGCACGCTTGGTCCGTGGTCCCCTACCACCCCCCCCCCCCCCTGTTCCCCCTGTCAAGTCCCTTGCCTCGTCCACGTGGACTCGTTGTTCTCCCCTTAGTCGTATAGTGTCTCCATAGCCTCGTTGGTCTCGTCACCATGCTGACGGACCGTTTCACCTTGTACTCCGCTCTCGTGTTCCACCTCCTCCAGTCCTTCTACATCCTCCTGAGTCGCCCCTTACTGTGTTTCCCGACCCACTGTCCGACTACCTTCGTGGCTCCCGTCCTGTCATACCCCGTGTTTTGTCGTCATTGGTCACTCACCCGACTGCCCCCCCGCTGCCTGTCTCAGCTCTTGTTACCACTGTCGCTTGCGTTGCCTCTTCCTACCGCCTTGACTACGCATCTCACCTGGTGAGCGACACTGCTCATTCTCCGTCCACTGGGGGTGTTCATGTTTTTCCCCCAAAGGTCCTCGAGGACAGGCAGTTCGAGCTTGGTTTCCTCGCAACCACTGTTCCTCATCTCTGTGCCATGCTGCTTGCCCCTGTGGGGGATCCAGACGCCCTTCACATCCCAATCCCTCGCACTCACGTTGAGGCGGTCTTGGGACCCTCGGCTTCGTACGAGGCAGAGATTGCATCTAATAGGTCCACAGGCACCTACACCAACGCCGTCCCACCTCTTGGGCCGAACGTCGTCAATGGCATATGGCTCTACAAGGTGAAGAGGCCGCCTAGAGCACCACCGGTGTTCAAGGCACGCCATGTGGCGAGAGGCTTCAGTCAGCGAGTGGGGGTAGACTTCTTCCACACCTTTGCTCCCACCCCAAAGATGACCACTCTTTGGGTGTTGCTGCATATTGCAGCACAGCGCGACTACGAGTTGCACTCCTTGGACTTTCTCCACTACGTTCCTTCAGGGGAGACTGCACAAGCAGATCTGGCTGCGTCGTCCTCCTGGGAAGAAGTGGCAGCTGCGTCAACCGGTCCACGGCCTGCGCCAGGCTCCCGGTGAGTGGCACGACATGCTACGTACGACTCTTGCAGCGCTTGACTTCTTTCCGTCGTCTGCCGGCCCGTCGCTGTTCGACCGCCCTGGCTCGACCCCGTTCTTTGTTCTGGTCTACGTTGATGGCCTGGTCTTCGCCACTCCCAACCAACGCACACTGGCCTCCGTGAAGGAGGAACTACAGAGGAGAGACACTTGCACTGACCTTGGTGAGCTGCAACGCTACCTTGGCCTGCAGATCACTAGGGACAGGGCTGCTCGCACCATTACGCTGACGCAGTCGCATATGGTCGAGCAGATTCTCTCGCGGTTACGCTTCCCGTTCCCCAAGGTACAGCTCACCCCTCTTGCTGTGGATAATGGGCTCACGGCTTCAACTTTGGACGAGCCATTTGAGTCCAGCGGTCCATATCCTATGTTGGTGGGTTGTCTCATGTACCTGATGACCTGTACTCGCCCAGACCTATCTTACCCTCTTAGCGTCATTGCGCGTTCTGTTTTGCCAGGGGGACACTGACCATCTTACTGGTATGCTGCTAAGAGGGTGGCGAAGTATGTGGCGAGTACATCAGGCATGGGACTTGTCCTTGGAGGGAAGTAGCGAGTTACACTTACAGGTTTTTCGGACCCTGTGTTGCTGTTATAGCTTATTAGTCTAGTCTAGGTGTTACTGTGAGTTATGCACTAGAGGGTACAACCCCATTTTGGGTTTGCTATATGTTTCCTTGTACTGCTTCATTCTAGTCTTTCATTCCACCATTACTATCTTCACAATATGCTCCTAGCTTAGCCTAGCTCGCCCGTCCTCCGTTGCCTTGCCTAGCCCGCACCGCTTCGCCGCACTGTAGTCATACCCTATTTAAGCAGCGCGCCCTCCCTCCCATGTGCTGACCCGCACGCACCTTTGCCAGAGTGGCACACGCCCTAGCAAAGCAGCGCGTGCCACCCAACGCAGAGAGCGCCCCTGTAGAGTAGCACACGCCCCTGCAGAGCAGCGTGCGCCCCAGCAGAACAGTGCACACCACCCTGCTGAGCAGCGCACGCCCGAGCAGAGCAGGTTGCGCCACCTAGCAGAGCAGCGCGCGCCACCCTGCAGAGCAGCGCGCGCCCCAACAGAGCACCGCGCGCCACCCAGTAGTGCAGCCCGCGCCACCCAACAGAGCAGCCCGCACCCCTGCAAAGCAGCGCACGCCCCTGCAGAGCAGCGTGCCACCAAGCAGAGCAGCATGCCCCACCCAGCAGAGCAGCTCGCGCCCCTGCAGAGCAGCTCGCGCCCCTACACAGCATCGCGTGCCACCTAGCAGAGCAGCGCGCGCCCCTGCACAGCAGCGCGCCACCCTGCAGAGCAGAGCGCTCCCCAGCAGAGCAGCGCGTGCCACCCAACAGAGCAACACACGCCCCTGCCCCAAAGCACTAGCCCTAAGCTGCACCTCGTGCACCTGCAGCAGCCCGCCCCACAGCCCTTCACAGCCGCCCACAGCCCTTCCCGGCCGCCCACAGCCCTTCCCAGCCGCCTTCAACCCTTCCCAGCCGCCCACATGCCTTCCTAGCCGCCACAGCCCACCACAGCTGCCACTTCGACAGCACACACCTACGCCTTACCTACCTACGCCCCGCCCTTGCAGCAACCAGCCGTGCTCGTTGTCTCCAACACGCCTACTTCCATAGGCATCTCTAGCGGCGGCTGGCAGCCGCAGTTTCTTCTACTAGCGCAGATAAGGGTTAGTACCCCGACGTTACTGGTATTCCTAGCCCCGTTCGCCCCTCACTCCAGCATCTTCTATCTCCAGCCGTGCCTAGGTTCAGCCGTGCCTCGCTCTAGCCGCCTCTAACTCCAGCCACTCGGGCTCCAGCCGTTACAGCTCCAGCCGTTCTAGCTCCAGCCATCTCTAGCTCTAGCTTGGTGTCCCATGTCACTCCTCGTTCCAGGCGCTCCTCGTGCAAGCTGTTCCACGCCTAGCGGTCCTAGCTGTTCCTACCTCCAGCCGGTCCTAGGTTCAGCCACTGCTGATCCAGCAGCTCCTAACTCCAGCCACTTTTAGCCCTAGCCTGCTGTTCCTTGTCAATTCGTGCTCCGGCCGCTCTTAGCTCCTGCCGTTCCTCCCTCCAGAAAGTTCCTAACTTTAGCCACTCCTGCTCTAGCAGTTCCTCGCATCTGTTGCCCAACTAGCCTTTTACCATGGCATCCGCTAGGGTCTTACAGCGGCAGGGAAATCAGCAGTTCCAGTAGTGGGCACCTCAGAAGCCATGGCGCTCTCCGCAGCAGTGGCACCCTCTGCAACAGTGGGGGCCTCGTGGTCTGGGGAACGTCTGCCTAGACGGCTTGAGGGGTAGTCGTGGTGGCCGCGACATTAGACCCTGCAAATACCAGCTCCTGACTGGCCCTCGTGCTAGCACTACTTGCTCGCGTCCTGACCACTTTGCACTACGCTGCTATAGCCACCTCGACGACCATTACCATGAGCGCTTTGGGCCTGACTCTGCTCCCCCGATCTGGCCCGGTCTGTCTCGTATCGGTTGGCGTGTGTTTGATATGGATAAGAATGCTGCTTATTCTATCATGTATGGATCTCTTGACTTGCGAGTACCCAGCTTAGGACCTTTGCCTGTTGTTAGTGCAGGTGCTTGTGCTTCTAGTGTAGGTGCTTGTGTAGTTACTGGTGTAGCTGTGACGACTGCTGACGCGTCACTCTCCTTCACACTAGACTCTGGCGCGTCAGTGCTTCTTCCGCGACCACACCACTGCCACACCTCTTGTTTCTCCAGTCCCAGTTGTCTTGGCTGATCCTACTTCAGGACCTGCCATTGCTCGCAGTTCTACCACCCTCCCGTGCTCGACTGTCCCCTCTGTTTCCCCCGCTTGTCTTTATATCCCTTCGTTCTCTTGGAACTTGGTGGGTGTTGGATACCTTAAGGACCGTGGGATCACAGTCACTTTTCTTGCGCACGGGAGAACTGCGATCTCTGCGGACGCTTCTACCGGAGCAGTTCTTGCCACGTTTACCAGAGAGCCCCACTCAGGGCTCTTCGTCCTGCGCAGTCCACCCCCATAGATAGGTGCGTCCCCTCAGGTAGCTGTCTTAGGTCACGTCGCTGTGTCTTGCTCCTGACGGTCCCTCACCCACCCGACAGTTTTGTGGCACCCCCATCTTGGCCACCTATCCCTCCCCCGCCTCTGCAGCATAACTAGTCAGCGTCTTGTCTCAAGTCTCCCACGCATCTTTGCGTCGCTCCCTTCCTCGCCTGCACCGTCATGCACTCCTTGCGTCGAGGATCGGCTCCGCGCAAATCCTCAGTCCTCCTTTCTTTGTCCGGCCACAGCTCCCTTCCAGACCCTCCACTTGGACGTCTGGGGCCCAGCCCCTTGACTTGGACCCGAGCGGGATGTAGTTGATGGCATGTGGATCTTCAAGGTGAAGCAGCCGCCTGGATCACCGTCTATCTTCAAGGCGTGCTACGCGGCTAGGGGCTTCAGTCAGCGTGAGGGATTTGACTTCTTTCAAACCTTCACCCTGACCCCGAAGATGACTTTCTTTGGGTGTTACTTCACGTAGCAGCACACCGAAACTACGAGCTGCACTCCATCGACTTCTCCACTGCCTTTCTCCTGGGCCGCCTTCACGAGGAGATCTGCCGGCGTCGTCCTAGCTTCACTAGAAATTTCCTTCCTGGGACCCAGTGGAGCCTGAGACGAACAGTCTACGGTCTCCGCTAGACGCCCCGTGAGTGACACGACACATTACGCACCACTATGGCTGACCTCGGTTTCTGCCCTTCGTCCACTGACCCGTCGTTGTTTATTCGCAAAGGCTCAAATCCTTTCTTTGTCCTTGTCTACGTCGACAAATTGGTCTTCGCTACAGCAGACAAGGTTCCTCTGGCTAGGGTGATGTCCAAACTGCAGAAGAGACACACGTGCACTGATCTGGGTGAGCTGCATTGCTACCTTGGCTTGCAGATCACCAGGGACAGAGCTGCTCGCGCCATTACACTCTCGTGCCATTACACTCTCAGAGCTTGTGGGCTGCCTCATGTACCTAATGAATTGTACTCGTCCAGACCTTGCCTTTCCCCTCAGCTGTCTCTCTCGCTTTGTTGCGACTAGGAGACACCGTCCTGTGCACTGGACGGCTGCTGTGGTTTGCTTGTGCTCGGACTGTGTGGTGACTTTGTGATCCACCCTGAGCTTTGTTTGGTTGCTTTTCTTGACTGGTCATGTAATTGTTGTTTCCCTTGCTTGCTATATTATCATAATATCTTGTTAGCCTATGCGGCTTGTTTTGCTTGTTTTGAGATCTGACTCAATTTTTGTCGTTGCCAATTGATTTTTTGTCGAATGTGCCGCGTGCAGTTAAAACTAACAGATGCGAAGCTATCGAAATCGATAGAAATCATATATTGAACATTTAGTAACTGTAGCTGCACAATATATCTTTGATGGAGTCGTCGGCGAAACTCGTAAGCTGTGGATCAAATTTGGCGTTGCGCTGGTGAAGAAAGCACAGCGCGGATTAACTTTGTCACCACGAAAAAACGTGAGTGTGGAAAACCCGTCACTAGTAAAAGGCGACGGGCAAAGGGGCTAAAAGAAAAAATATAGTAATGTGCTGTGCTGGCTGGTCGAAGGCAAAATTTATGAAGTGTCAAGTAATTGACGATCGCAGCGTTTGTCGTAAAAATGAAGACGATCTGTGCGGTAAAAAGGAAGTCGTTCAAAATGTAGTAAATCTTGAACTAGTAGTGAAGACCTTTTGACGCTGCCTGGATTCGGTTTGAAAACTGTGGCGGATTCATGGTTGTCAAGCCGAAGATCTGGCGGTGGAGAATCGGTTGTCGAGATCGACGGTCTTTGGCGATTGATAACTTCTCTGTCGGAGAGGTCTCTCGGGGAACAAGACGGAGGGGTTGTTTCCTTTCTTGCTCCATTGTTTTTGACTGATCTTTGAAGTTGGTAGGATAGTCAGCTGTTGCATATTGTTTTGGATTTAACTTCTTCGCTCCTGAAGAAATAGAAGAGGTAAGTAATGAATTATGTAAAATAAATTTTTTCTCTAATGATGCCCGTTGATGCTGAGAAGCGGGTGATGACTTCTGCAGGTTGTAAATCATCCAGACAATTGCTGATAATGTCCTCCTCTGTACTTTTTTTTCCAGGGAGAACTCGAAGAATAGTGATGAAGTTTTCCACTACACGGAGATCTGCTGCACTGCTTCTGAAGGTTGAAGGCAGAAATGACACCGTGACTTGTCCGTTTGCTGGATGCTGGATGCTGGATGCTGCTGAAGGTTGAAGGCACAAGTATGTATCCAATAATTGGAGCTGGATGCTGCCCATATAATTTGTTGTCTTGACTTGTCCGTTTGCTGCTGTGATTGGCCAAGGCTGTTGGAGCTCTTGTTTGTTGTAAATGAAAGGGTTGTATGAAGAAACCATGTGGTGCGTACAGTAGCTGTCCGGGTACCATAACTTGGAATCCAAATCGTTGATGCATGTTGATTTTCCATATATTGGATTTTGGCTGAGTTGAGATGAAGCTGCTCGTATGCTGTTGTTGCTGTTGCTGTTGCCGATTGCTTGTGCAGATGCGGTTTTCAGCTGCGTTTGCCAAGATATCTGAAAGTGCTGTATCTCCATATGTAATTCCCTTAGGAAGCACCATTCGGTAGAATGACCTTTCTAGTCACATAAATCACAATAGTATTGTTGGTCTCCTTGATTTCTTGATACTTGGAATGTGAAATTTTGATTGACTTGCTGCTTGCTCTTCTTTGAAGTGTTGTTGCTGTTGATATCAATCAAGTGCATAGAATGAAGACCCATCAGACTCTGTCTTTGGTGGTGTTTGTGCAGCTGCTATTGAAGATCGACGTCTTGATTCCTCATCGTAAATAACAATGTTATGTTTCTTGTTGATACCCTGTGCAGTGTTGGCATTGAGATTGCCAGTTTTGTAACTTGCACTGCAGCCATTTGCTTAGAAGCCTCCTCCCTTTAACTGTTTTTCCTGTCTTTGCATCTCTCTTAGAGATTTGGGGAGGGCCTTATAGCATCCTGCACTAGGAACGACTTGCACTAGGGTCTTGTACTTGACTAGGATAGTCAAACTTGATGAGAGTCTAAGTTACAGAGGATATTTTTTTCAAAATGTTATATTGCTTACAATTGTGTAGGCTATAGTGGGGTAGCCCATAAGGGGTACAACCTAGTTAGGGTTAGTACTTGTACCCAACTGTGTCATAGTTCATCCATTCCTCGTTCATTCTTCTAACATGGTTTCAGAGCAGGTCCTTCACTAGGACCGCTTTTTTTTCCTTGGGCCCACCACTGCGCTGCCCCACTAGCCACCCCTAGACCGGCCGGTTGCCCCTAGGCCCGTCGCCCTGGCTCGTTGCCTCTAGG